GAGTAGAGGGTATATATGAATCGCAGACACCACTGATGTTCCGAGCATTGACCCAAATTGGATGTCTGTGTCGGCCTGTAGCTCCGCCAATGGGAGGAGTGTACTCGTTGGAGGTGTGCCGTTAATTTTTTTTACAGTCGGAATGGGAGGGGAGGGTTTGGAATTAGTCTACCTGAGTTGTCAATTTATGTAGGTGACTTTGTATCTGCGGGAATCACAAAAAACTATGAATTTGCCAAAACTGATTTTTTTGTAAATTTTCTCACGTATCTGAAAGAGTCACGTTTAGAAAAAAATTCGGAAGGCATCGCGAAAAGATTTATGGATCAAATCATCCTAAAAAATTCTCTGACTTCGCAAAAAACCCTTACAACCCCTCACCATATATATTTTGCATGTTATTGCTATTTTTGTTGAACTGATCTTGGTTTTGAATTCAGACGCTCAAAATGATACCTCTTTCTACTGGACAGACGTCATACCTTTCTAACGACATGATTCGTACAGTATTTCTGTACAAATTTGCACAGGTATTTTTGCAAAATTCATTCTCAACCCTTTCCGTACCTTTCCGTATTCCGTACTCCATAGGATACAAGGCAAGTATGGGCTGTTATTGACACCGAATCCGCAACCGGTTCGTTCTTCATAGTTCAAAGAGGAGATCTTACCATGCCAAACATGGATCGGATTTATGCGCAGACATTTTCGGAAGAGTAAGTAAAGTGAAATCACTCATTTCAGATTATACGCTCTAGTGGTTTTCAGGAAGGATCAATTAGTATCGAATAGCATCCAATCGGCAATTAAGTTCAACATCAGACATTTCCGCGTGGTTGCGGAAGCTGAGAAGGAGATCAATAAGGTTAATTTTTGGTTGTAGGCGGGACTGTCACACTTTCACATTTTATTTCAAGCTTTGTTTTCTAGGCTATTCGTTTGAGTCGAGAAGCGACGGCTAAACCCACACTCTTATGCTTGCTGGTCGACGAAGAGCCAAAACTCATGGTAGGAGATTTACACTTTTTTTATAAATTCGAATCACAGAATATGGAGATCCAATCAATTGAGTGTGATCCCCATTTTCTTTTACGTAAAAAAATTTGCAGATCTATTACAATCCAAAAGCTTAAATCTTGTATAAAATTTTTCATTCAAATTAATTCATCCTTGCTTTTTTGTGTTTCTTTTTGGTATGTAGATAGATGCTACTCTATAAGTACTCTATAGGTAGATATTACTTTATCAGAAGAATTATACCCGTACTGTAGCTTCAAATTCAATATTCTGCAGCGAGGATCATAGGAGTTACTTTGCAGTAATTTTATTTGCATTTTGCAGATGAAGAGACTTGTAAATCTCAATCTCTTCCCGCACGTGCGCATTCACGTTCAAGAACCACATGCTCTATTGAATGTTATGGAATGGCAGCGAGTGGTGGCCAAGCGAATATGCAAGCATTATTTTAACAGTTTTATTTATTTCAAAGTAAGTCTCATTTTCCTTTCACGTAGATTAAGCTTTTGCTCATCTTTGCAGGACTACGCTGACTGGGCACGTTACCTACACGTCCCGATAGGCAGTGTACCGAGTGATGCTGGGCTATTCGGGTTGGATCTACTCTTCGCTCGACATCTTCAAAGAACCGGCCATGCGCTTTGGGCATCGGCAGCAAGCAGACCTGATTTGGGTGGCAAGGTATTAGTTCACTGCTTACTTTAAGGTCGTATAATGATCATGAAGTTGATTACAGGAAATCGACGATCTTCGTCTCACTTCAGAATGGAAACCGTTGACCAAGGATGAGACTGTGTTGCTAAATAATCCTGCTTTCTGTGGAAGCGTTTGTATAGAATTTGAATTGGAAGCCGTAGCGGTAAGTTGCCTGATATACCATTTGAGATA